CTCCAAACAATATAACAAAGTGGCAATGAGGATGGGCCACCTGTGCTGCCTCTAGCAACAGAAGAAGTAGAAGTCAGTGTGAGAAAACAAACCTTTTTGCTGCTCTGGAAGAGAAAACACTGTTACACTGACCGTGCAAACAGAAACTAAAACCAGTGAAGCCCAGAGTCTGGGAGGAAAAAGGAGAAAGAAAGGTGGTGCAGCAGCATGGCTACACTTATGGGGCTGCTGAGACCTCTTAAGGAGACTGTAGATCAATGGCACATATATATGAGCATTTTGAGCTTTTTGTTTTTGCAAATGACATTAACGAAGGGAAGAAGGTTCCAATATTCTTAAGTGTTGTAGGGCAGTGGTCCCCAACGCGGTGCCCGCGGGCGCCATGGCGCCCGCTGGGGCATTTGTATGCGCCCGCCGACAACCCGGGCTGGCCCCGCCCCCCGGCACGCGGCGCACTGGAGGCGCCGGTGGATTGGCAAAAAGGGAAACCGCTCCCGTTTTGGAACACTGAACTTAAGATGTTAAATGATGCCATACGGGACAGATTAGTGTGTGGCTTGCAGAGTGAAGCTATACAGACTCGTCTATTAACAGAGGCCCAGCTCACCCTACAGAAGGCTGTTGATATTGCGGTCTCCATGGAAATGGCCACTTGGGAGGTGCAATACCTCAGTGCACCTCCTAGGGTGCATAAAGTGTCCCAAGAACCTACCCACAAATCAGTGGGGAGCCAGGAATGTTACCACTGTGGTAAGCTGGGTCACCATGCATCAAAATGCTGATGTAAGGATATAGTGCAGTGTTTTCCAATTGGTGCTCCGCGGAACTCCGGGAGAGGCATAAGGATCTTGCTCCAAAGTGGTTTTTTCCACAAAACGGAAGCAGCTACACTGCTGCTTTTTGCGCAAAAACCCCTTGTGCAAAAAGCATCGCAAGAAAATATGCTAATGACATCACAACTCATGCTAATGAGTCCCTCATTAGCATACTCTGTGCCACAAAAACTTGTAGTGTAAACATAGCCTGAGAGAATACTAATACATATATGTCCCAAACAATGAGCACCAATCAGTTAGTGGCAGGATTTTCCACTGTGCCGTGGACAAGGACAGGCCCTCTAAGATACATTTTTATACGCAGATACAAATGGGCTACATTGGCAAGATTTTGCGCAAAAGCAATTGCTTTTGCGCAAAAATTTGCCGCCTGTCTACACTGGCCGCGAGTTCTTCAGCAAGAACACTGATGTTCTAATGTAAGAAATCAGGGCTTCTTGCACAAGAACCATGATGCTCCCGCTCAGGAATAAGCCCTCTTGCGCAAGTGTTCTTACACAAGAGGCCAGTGTAGACAGGCAACATGAATTTCTTGCGCAAGAAAGCCCGATGACTAAAATGGCCATCTGAGCTTTCTTGCACAAGAGAGCGTTGACACTGGCACGGATGCTTTTGTGCAAAAGCACATGCCAGTGTGGACACTCTCTTGCGCAAATACTTAAACGCAAAAACTCTTGCGTTAAAAGTATTTGCGCAAAATCTTGCCAATGTAGACGTAGCCATGAGTTATACATTAGTCCTGACATAAGGGTGCCACCCTCCAACATACCTTGCTGCTACCCATTACCTTGTACATGATGGATCGATCAAAACATCGCTATCCATCATGCTGTCATTTTAGATGCTCTCCTGAACCTGGGTTGGAAAATCTCTGTTATCTGGGAGGAGTGTGTTGGTAACAAGATATTTCTTAACCAGGACTTCTGTTACCATCCTTACAGAATGTGTTTATTGCCTGTGCCTAGTACCTCTTAAGTATGAGCTTTTGGGCAATATCAGCCCTGTTCTTGCCAAGTTCTGTGAGCAGGGCCTTTCTTTTCTCACAGCTCAACTTTGCTTTTTATGAGCAAAGTCTTGACCAATTTTATTAAGGTCTTAAGCATTACATCAGGACTGTGATATATGGGCTTGTTTTAGGACCTCTTCATACTACAATCTGTTCCATAGTCCTGTAGGGATGTGTTAGTATATACATTTAAATGATTAACCAATGAGCCTACCTTCACAGTTACACACAAGGCTCCCTTCCTCATGCTGCTGCCATACTATATCAGAGGCAGCAGCATAGGGAGTTAGGAGCAGGCAGGACTCAGTGCTTGCAGGGAGCCGGCTTTTAAGCAGGCTCCCCACAAGCACCAATGCCTGCCACCCTCATCCCCTCTCTCTCTCTCGCTCGCTCGCTTCTGGTACAGAGGCAGCAGCATGAGGGGGCAAGCGAAAGCCGGTGCTTATGGGGAGCCAGTTTAAAAGCGCTACTTCCTACCCACCTGTTCAGTTCTGGGCATAGGCACTAGTCTAGTTAGCTGTGTAACTTGTTTCCTGTGGAATTCCAGCAGTGTAGTGGCGGGGGCAAGCTGCTCTACAGGAGCTGGTGCACGCAAGGAAGCATGCTTAAAAGCCATCTCCCCAAGAGCACCAGCTCCCGCCTGCTCCTGCCTCCCATGCTGCTGCCTGTGATACAGAGGCAGCAGCATAGGGGGGCAGGCAGCTTAAAAGCTAGCTCTCTGCGTGCACCAGCTCCCATGGAGATGCTTCCCTTCCCCCATGTGTAAATATGTAACTGCTGAAATTTTCAGGGGTTACATGTTTATAAAAAAACCCTGCATTTTGACATCCCTATTGTCCTACTGTTCTTACAATTAGAAAATTTATTATAATATAAATCTGCTACACTGTAGTTTGAATCTAGTCCATCTTCTCCCATCCTCTGAGAAAACAGAACAATGTTACTATGTCTCTTTTATGGCAACCTTTCAAGTATTTGAAGATTAGTATCACATCCCCCTTAATCTCCTTGTTTCTGAACTAAACATACTCAGAGGCTACGTCTACACTGGCATCCTTTTCCGGAAATGCTTAAAACGGAACAGTTTTCCGTTATAAGTATTTCCGGAAAAAGCGCGTCTACATTGGCAGGATACTTTTCCGGAAAAGCACTTTTTCCGGAAAAGCGTCCGTGCCAATGTAGACGTGCTTTTCCGCAAAAAAGCCCCAATCGTCATTTTCGCGATCGGGGCTTTTTTGCGGAAAAGAAATCTGTGCTGTCTACACTGGCCCTTTTCTGGAACAGTTTTCCGGAAAAGGACTTTTGCCCGAATGGGAGCAGCATAGTTTTTCCGGAAAAGCACTGATGATTTTACAGTAGATCGTCAGTGCTTTTCCGGAAATTCAAGGGGCCAGTGTAGACAGCTGGCAAGTTATTCCAGAAAAGCGGCTGATTTTCCGGAATAAGTGGCCAGTGTAGACACAGCCAGATTCTTTGGCCTTTGCTTGTATGGTTTTCATTCTTTTTCTTCAGCCACCTTGTCACTCACCTCTGGATCCTTTCCTGTTTCTCTACATCCTTTCAATATATTGCTGATCCACATTGTAGATAGGACACCAGCTGACACTTAACCAGCATCGAGAATGCCAATGCTTTCATGGGTTCTGACTAGCATGCTCAGTTAATTCAAATGTGTCAGGTAGCTTAAAGGGTTAGACAGTCTACTGGTTAGAGTCCCTGGCTATGAGCCCTCTGTTTGATTAAATCTTTAAGGCCTACAAGGTGGTGGTGATAACAGGATCTCCCACTCCATTATGCCCTAGTATGTCAGTCCCTGAATGGGAGGATCCCTGCCAACAGGGAGTCAGAATCCATGGCCCTGGGCTACTTCCTACCCACCTGTTCAGTTCTGGGCATAGGCACTAGTCTAGTTAGCTGTGTAACTTGTTTCCTGTGGAATTTCTCTTGGATCTTGGGCCATGCGTTGCTACTGTCATAGATTCCTTCGTGTGGGGCAGTCGCAAATGGGTGAGGCAGAGCAGAGTCTTTCAGGTCTGCTCAGTCGGTTACCTTGGTGGCTGGAGGCTCTTGGGTGGGGAGATAGGGTATGTCTACACTAGCCCCCTAGTTCGAACTAGGGAGGCTAATGTAGGCATTCGAAGTTGCAAATGAAGCCCAGGATTTAAATATCCCGGGCGGAGTACTAGCTGGGCAGCCATCTAAGAGTAAGCACTGTGGGTATGTCTACACTAGCCCCCTAGTTCGAACTAGGGAGGCTAATGTAGGCATTCGAAGTTGCAAATGAAGCCCAGGATATTTAAATCCTGGGCTTCATTTGCAACTTCGAATGCCTACATTAGCCTCCCTAGTTCGAACTAGGGGGCTAGTGTAGACATACCCACAGTGCTTACTCTTAGATGGCTGCCCAGCTAGTACTCCTTCCCTTCTAGTCGGGTGACATCTCCCAGCTTTGAGTGATCTGCAAATTTGAGCAGTAAGCTCTGTTCCTACATGTGTGTCATTAATAAAACTGTGAAATAACTCTGGACCCAGAACATATCTATGTGTAACCCTGATTGAGACCTGCCTCTCATTTGACACCATTCCCTTGAGAGTCACTCTTTGTTTGAGGTTGATTAACCAATTATAGAGCTACTTAATGATAGTTCCTCCAAGTCCATATTTCCCCTGTTTACTTATCAGTCATGTGGGAGTGTGTCAAAAACAGTGGTATAGTCCAGCTATATTATGCCCACCATATTCTCCCTATCCATCAAACCTGCTACTGTGTGACACTATGCTTTGTAAAACTATGCTTGGTGCTCGTGATTCATCATCCAAGTATTCACACATGGAAGACATTATACGATATTTCATAAATTGCTCCAGTAGCTTTCCAGGTATTGAGGTCAGGCAGACTGGCCTGTAAGTCCCTAGCTCTTCCTCCTCCACCCCCCTTTTTTAAACATGGATACTATGTTAACCCTTCTCCAGTTTTCCAGGACCTTTCCTCTTTTCCATGTGTTTGAAAATATTATTGCCAATGGCTCCAAGATTTCTTCAGCTAATTCTTTTTGCATCATAGAGTCAATAATTTCAGGCCACACTAACTTGAATTAATTTAAGTTATCCAAAGTTCATAGGAATATGACATTAATATCTGGAACTCTTCCTTACAGGAAGCAAACTGATTAAGCTGGTGAATGGGACACATCGTTGCTCTGGGAGAGTGCAGATTTATCACAGTGACTCCTGGGGGACAGTCTGTGATGATTCCTGGGGTTTATCTGATGCCAGTGTTGTTTGCAAAGAACTGGGATGTGGACAAGCCATCAGTGCACCTGGCTCGGCTCATTATGGGCAGGGATCTGGGAAGATTTGGCTGGATGATGTGAGCTGCTCTGGAAGTGAATCCCATCTTAAGGACTGCTCCTCTGGAGGATGGGGTCAGCATAACTGTGGGCACAGTGAAGATGCTGGAGTTCTCTGCTCAGGTCTGTTCTGTGGATGCTGTATTGAATCTGATTAATGAAGTGTGGGTATTAACTAATAGAGAAGTCATAAATGAGAAGAACCTCAGTGTGCCAGTCAAGAATCTCCTTTCTGGTCACACAATTCTTTGGACATGTAGTCCTTTGGAATGGTAACCAGGTACCAAAAATTAGGAAATGACTAAACATAATAAGCTTTGAAATCATAAAATCATAGAACCATGGAGTTAGAATGGGACAATGAAGATATGGCCGTGGGTTGAATCCAGCCTGGCAAGCCTTTCAATCCAGCCTGCCCCACTAGGACCCTCAGGCATGGAGTAGTCCCATGCCACGGAAAGCAGTTGGCTGTTCCATGTGGCTGTCTGCCTGGCACATGGGGCAGGAGGTAAGAAGCATTGCACACTGCCCCTACCTCCAGCACAATCTCTCAGCACGCAGACACCTCCCAATCCCACTGCACAGTGCAGAGAGCCACATGGAGCAGCCAGCTGCTTGGAGACTGAGGCTGTGGCAGGGCAGGAGCCTGTTTGAGAGTTCCACTGAGATTCTGGCCAGGAGTCATCTAGGTGAGAGTCTCCCAACCAGTGCCTGCACATGGCACCCCACCTCTTCCTGCACTCCAATTCCCTGTCCGAGGTCACCACCCGTCCTGCCCCAGGTCACGGCCCAAATCCTCTGCACACTCCCTCTCCCAGGTCATAACTCTCCCCTCCCTCCCCCCGAACCTGTTCTCCCCTCTACATGCTTCCCCCAGGCCAGAATCCTCTTCTACACTCATATCCCATCCCAGACTCTGCATCCCAATCCTCTGTCCCAGGTCAAAATTCCTTATCAGACCCCATACGCTCTCCTTCACTCTAGTCATCTAATCTAAGCCCTCTTTTGCACCCAACCTCCTCCACAGAAAAGTGTGACCCTTGAGCACTTATCAAAATCTTGGAGTGGCCCCCCCATCAAAATGATTGCCCACTCCTGGGTTAGAAGGCCTACAAGGGTCATCTAGTCTAATCACCTGTCAAGATTCATAATTCGTTGTATCTATACCATTTAAGACAGATGGCTGTCCAGCCTCCTTTGAAAAACTTCCTGTGAAGGTGCCTCCATGACCTCCCTAGGCAATCCTTTCCATTGTCCTACTGCTCTTTTAAATGAGGAAGGTTTTCCAGAGATTTAATGTAAATCTGCTATTCTATATTCTGCATTCCAGTCCTCCTGCCATCTGCCCGCAGGGCTAAAGTACACAAAATCTACTAGGTTAGTTCCACATAGGCTTTGTTGTACAGGGGGAACATGTGGAGTGTCTCTCTCCTCTCAGTCAGGGGCTTCTCATTACCAGTATGGGGGGGGGGAGAGAGAGAGTGTGTGTGTGCGTGCGTGTGTGTGCACGCTTTCTTCTTTTTGAGTCTTTGGATACACACCGTTTTCAGTTTCAGGCTTTCTCTGTAAACATGAATGGCTTTCTTTAAAGAAAGCATGGAATGGAGTGGAATCACTTGCCTCCAGGAGCTGGTGTTTAAACAAAACATTAGTTATCACAAGACTCAAGAGGAAATTGTGATAGTCGGCAACACTGCCTTGCTCCCTAAGAAAAGAGTGCAAAGGCTTGTGTGGCCCAGGCGGGTGCCCGCCTCTTGCGGTCCCGGGCAAGCTCCCGGGAGCCGCC